AATTGGGCGCACAAAATATCAATTAAGTGTATTGATAAGCGGCACGGCACCCCTTTCCATCAAAAGAGTGAAAGATTCCGACCCGCGTTTAGTACAGAAATGACAGCCCGTCGGGCTGAGGGTGTCACATTGCTCCGAACACAGAAGGAAACTCCGGTCCGACATTTGGGCCCCTTAGGGGCATGTTCTAGAACTGCAGAAGCATTCGATGAAAAATATTCAGGATAACTCAAGAACTGATCGACGGATTATCATGATTTTTGGTATGTGGGTAGCTTACAGAATGCTTGACATTAATACAATAGTTATGCAAATCAGCAGCTAATTAGCATAATTGTCAGAATTTTGCCCAGAATTTCAATAGATGTTTTTGCCCAATTTTCAAGAGAAAAAAGTTTTGTTGCCCTCCTTCGGTGGTTGCTCAACATACCAAAAATGTTGTAAATGTACTTCAGCAAGACATTAGACTCTGATTTGTTTTCTTTTGTCTTTTATTTTTACTTTGATAGTGTTGTTTCTTTTTCCCATATCGAGATTAGATTTGGAGTAGGGTTAACATGTAAAGAGCACTAATTTGTTGCATACTGTCACTTTTTTTCAGTGTCACCTGTAGTGACAACTGTCCCCCCATCAGTCAGCGTGATAGTGGGTTCTGATGTCCGTCTGCCATGTCCTGTGTTGATGGGTAACCCCCCTCCACGTCATCAGTGGTACAAGGTTGGTCACACACTTGGATGTACATTGACAGAAAAGATTTATCATAGATTGTACTTGGTACCCTCTTTTTCTCATCCTCTTATTTGGTCAAATTATTTCAACAGTGACTTCACTTCTGCTTAAAATGACCTGAAATTTGTTATGGCAGTAGAGTGGTCAAAAATTCATTCTTAGAATGGCTGACAGTTGCCCAATGCTGGAGCAGGAAAGTTTGACATACAGTCAAACTTGTCTATGGAGGTCACACGATCAAGGGACTGGCTAAATTTCACCACTATGGATAGGTGACCACTAGAGAGAAATGGACGGTTAGTTCATCCCCCCCCCCAAAAAAGAAAAAGTGACACATGCTACCAACAGAGATGTCTTTATTCTAAAACATATGAAAACAGTACAGGTAAGTTTAGATGTACATGCATATGTAGTTCAATTATTGTTCTTTTGCTTTAGTTTGGGCTTGAAAAAAAGAACTGAAGAAATTGGAAGGAGACATTAATGATAAATCAAAGATGCACGTAACATGCTCAGTTGAGCAACTGGGACAATGAAACCTTTCTGACTAAAACATACCTAACCACTGGTTATCATTTACTGTATCTGTGTAAAGAAGAAAGCAATAAAGCAACAAAGTTTCTGGTGGACTCCAAACAAAGTTGCTGCTGACTGGCAAAAATTTAAGCTCCTTTGACGATTTCTTCTCACTCTCACTGCCAATCGGATCACTTCCACCTTCTGGAATAAGTTCAAATAGAGAACGGCATTGGCGTTCTTTGGTGCGTGCTTTGAGTGACCCACATACGCCACAATGAATTCCAACCATGTAAACAAGTACTTTTGCCCCATGATGTTCTCTATTTCATCAAATTAGTTGTTCTTCAGGTGCCAGTTATTTACGTTTCGGTCATTTGTGAGACATTAAAACGTAGTGAAAAACCTTTGTTTACAGCAGCTTGTGCTCCTCCCGCGTGGTTGTCTGCCTCTGCCATTATGCCAATGTGGTACATGTAGTTAATGGAAAAGTTGCTCCTTTAAGTTCACATCTCAGTGATGTAACGGCCAGAAAATTATCACGAGGCTGACATTATAATGACTGTAGACCGAGGTGGGGTGACGCTGCGGCGCCAGCAGTGATGCTAAGCAGGTTACAACCGGCCTCGACTGCAATCAGGAGTGTTGATATATAATGTTACCTACCAAAACACTTGTTCAGTTAATACTGTCAATATGGTATGGCTATGTGCAGGTGTAATGCAGTTAACCCAATTAAATCCCAACAGCCAATCAGCAAGAAGAATAGATCGAGGGAAACTGTATGACTATTGGTTCTTGCTCTGAAATCATCCCCCTACTATGCTGTAGATTGTGACCTAACAACTGTCAAAACCCCCCAAATTATACAAGTTTAAGGGAGAGTATGCCAAAAATTAAAATTAATTATTATTAATAGATTATATAAAGCATACCCATACCGAATTTCAGATGATTTGGAT